TCTTATTGAATTTGACAGATATGGATTCGAACTTGTTGCTATCTATATTTCAATCGAACACAAATTAAGAAAAAAAAAAACAAGTTCAAGACTACATCAGATCCTCTAAAGGATAAAAAGAAAATTCTCAAAAGAATTATCAAAAGTGTAATACAGAAGAAAAACTCAAAGAATTGGCTCTGATACCATAATAAAATTTGAAGAGAAGAGAGCCAGGAGATTTTAGTGGGGCCTCCATCTAAATATCAGGAACCCAGTGATAGTCCTTGAACTTTGTACTTATCGATAGGTTATGGTCAAGGTGCAGCTCATTATGAGTACTATTATTGAAAGCTCTACATTGGCAACAAGTAGTTTTAGGCCTCTAATACTCTACAAGAAGCCAGTTTGAGGGTGGGGCTATCAAAAAAAGAGACCTAGGGTGATATAAAACCCAAGATTAATAATGTGATAAAAAACCCACACATATAAATTTAGTACCAAAATTTAATGTCAAGATAAGCTCTCTTTACTTAACCTACAATCAACATGTGATTGGAACTAAAGTAATAGAAATAAGTGAATTGATTAGAACACCATAAGAAAAATCTTGATAAGTTAAAATCAATTCAAGAAAAAAGATTAATGAAAATGCCAACAATTACCTTGATAAATAAACACCAAATTTTCAATCAACAAGAATGTTAAAGAAATATCACTAGTTGAAAATTAAAAATTTGTAATTTTATTATCTTAAATTTGAATGAATACAACTATGAATTAACTGTCTATTTATAGCGTAGGTCATGTGAATAATAAGAAAAACAACCTCTTGAATTAATTGTAAAATTACATAGGAAAATAAATATAGAATACAATAGAAAACTTATAACAATTAAAAATATTGCTTTCTAAAATAGGGTAGATGTGATCTCTCTTTTAAATTGAGAAGATCTTAATTAACTGTGGAAGATTTAAGGGAATAAAAAGGGAGAATTAGGGCGAGCCAATAAAGAGGAATTATGGTCACCTATAAAATGAGTTTTCTAAACTATGAAATTTGCCTCCTTAATTGTGTTTTCCTTTTCTTCCATAATTATTTGCAGCTTAGGATGAATTTTTCCTCCTTTTTCTATTCTCCCATTTAATGGGAAGATTTTTTGCAGGAATAGGAAAGAAAATTCTATGGGGAATCTCCCTCTTTCTATCTTGGTCGATTTATCCCTTGTGAAGAAATTCTTTTTCTTTTCCTTGCTCACATCACAGAGTAGCTCAACCTGTCCCATTATAGTAACTATTGGCCAGAAAAGATCATAGTTTTATTCATTGTGGCAAAAATTGTAGCACCCGGACCGAGGAAAAAAAAAAAAAAAATCACGTCGGCAGCCACGTCAGCAGTCCCGGCCAACCGGGACCTGCCACGTGGCAAAACCACGTCGTTCCAAAAAGGGCCACGTTGGCGATCCGCGTGGGCGCGATCGGACGGCCCAGATCAAACGTGTGATCGGACGACCCAGATTTAAAACAAAATGGACGGCTGAGATCAAAAGGCAAAGGGTTATAAATAGAACCCCCACACTAGACCACAAACCCTAGCCGCCTGCCACTCGTCGGAGAAGACGAACTAGAAGCCGGCCGCCACCACCCACCGCCGCACCGGAGGAACTTCCGACCGCCGATCGAGGTAAATTTCGTACCCCCGACTCGTTTTTCCACGCTGATTCCTCCTGTGGCCAAATCGGAGCCAAAATCTCGGCCAAACGGTTGGAATGCACGGCCGAAGCCCAGCGGCGCCGCCGCGCCCTTCTCGGTTTTTGCCTCCGATGAGGCCCTTCCCGGCCTCCGTTTGATGCAATTTTTATATCACCGTGATCACCACTCTTTTCTCTACAGGTTGACCGGAGCCGAATCACCAAAACACGAACCTCGCTGGAGAGCCGCCGCCGGTAAGCTCCGTTTCTCCGTGATTTTTTGGCCCCCCGAGGGCCCTAGGGTTGTTTTCTCGCAGGGACCGATGCGAGTGTGGCCGAATTCGGCCGAAAACGGCCGAAAACAGCCAACCCGAGGCGAATCGCCGCCGCCAGCGGCGACGCCGTCGCCGGAGCACGGCGGAGCCGCCGTGCCGAAGTTGCGATTTGGGCCGAAAGGGGCCCTGGGCCTAATTTGGGATTTTTTTTGGAACACGTGCAGGTACCAGTAGTGCGTTTCAGTTCTCCGAGAAAAATTCAGGGAAAATTAGGGACAGCCTGCAAGCGCACTGTGAAGCCGTGTTCGGACCCCGAAACGAGTAAGGACCCCTCACCTTATTTCCTATCACGGTTTTAAAGTTCAATAAATGATAAAATGATATTTCATGAATCAACGAATGTGTGAAATTGCTTAGGGTCCCTAATGGAGCCGGAGTCTAGTGTGTTTGTCGGTTAATTATTATTTGGCCTGTTTTACAGTTTTAAACGTTGCATGAGGTTCGATGTTTTCATTTTATAGTTTCGTGTGCATGTTTTACTGTTTTATTGATTATGGATTAAATGACCGGAATATTGATGCTGTATGTTGTCTGCTTAGCATAAATTATCGTTTTGCTTGCTTGTATGTGGATTAATGATGCTGATTGAGGAAAAAGAGAACGAACAATTATGTAAATGGATAATGGTATAATGTGATCAGTCAGACTAGATATCCTGGGAGATGGTGGACGGACCGGGTCCGTAGGGGACCCTACCGGGATTGTGGTCTCCCATACCGGACGGGGTATGGAGATCTTATGTGTTTTGGCGCCCATACCGGACGGGGTATGGGGACGGCCCTGGAATTTGATTTCAAGTATTAAGGATTTACGGGTAGCGGGACCCCTATGGATCCCCATGGATACTAGTGGGCTGGTGAATTAGGAAAATATGTTGTGTAACGATTGAATTACAAAAAGTGTGATAGGTATTATGTTATACAGTTCATATATATGTTTCCATGATGATAATGATGTTATTGCTTTCATATATTGTTTTATGAATTTCACCGAGGTAAGTAAATGGTAAAGGTTTTATTTATCGATAAAAGGATTTGTTGTAAATTATGCTCCATTGGTCGTTTTGTGTTTTCTACCCACCTTTACCTCCGTGACGGTGAGATATCGTGATGTCTTTACTGGGCTAGTGTAGCTCATTCCTTATTTAATCATTTCAGATCAAGAGGACATCGTTCCCAAGCCGATTCTGCAGGAGGACGACGAAGGGGACGCTTAAAGACTCCATAGTCACATTCGTAGTTTTTACTTTCAAGTTTCTCCTTTAGGTAGTTTAATCTTTTATATTTTGTGAGCACGTTTCGGTTTCAGTGTAAGGGATGTTATTCAAATTTTGACATCGCTTCCGCATTTGATACTTTTTGAATATAAAATTCCATTTTAAATTTCCGGGGCTGCTACAAAAATCATAGAGATATCATGTTTTACTGACTCAACAACGCATGTTTCAACCCAAGGACTTGCCCATGCTAGCTATACAATGCTGTGTCTACTCCATCACAGTCGAAGATGTTGAAGTTGCCATCGACATAATTCAAGTTATGTATTCTAGTTGTAAGCACATAACATGTATTTTAATTAACCTTGGATCTACACATTTTTTCTTTTATCATGCATTTTCTAGGTACTTAAATATTTCTCTAGTATTTTTTGAATTTTACTTTGGTAGTATCTATGCCTACAAGTGATAATTTAGCAACAAATATGGTGTACAAGTCATGGATTAAATAAATAGCAGACATGGAGTTAGATGTAGTTTTAATATTACTAGATATTATAGATTTTGATGTAATACTAGGGATGAACTAATTAATAGTATATCACTTTAATGTGAATTACTACCATGAAAGACTTATATTCAATATTTCTAACAAAATACTCTTTTCGTGTTAATGACTTTTTCTTTTCTTTTTTCTTATTATTTATACCCAAAGAAAATGATATGTTGATTTTGATTTATGAGGTGCAATTTAATAGCTTAATGTGTGATTAGACAAGACAAGTAAAGGAATGGACATCCGAGAAATTCTAGTGGTTATAGAATTTATGGATGTCTTTTCTTATTCCTTACTAGGATGTCTTCTCTTTTGTGGAGTTTCAATGCATTAAGTTAGGACTAGGAATCATATTGAAATTATGTTTTGTATTCTTTCACTGTTTAATTGAAAACTAGATTAAACATAATTAAGTCTTATTTAATTTGGTCTATTCAATTTGATTAGTCAAATTTAAGTTCAAACCATATTATAAAATACTTCTTGTTATTGTCGTAATTAATATCAATAACAATATTATCATCAATATTAATTCTATTGTCACTACCTATTTAACTGTCTTTACTATTATTACTTTTCTCGTAACTACGATTACTTCTTTTAGTTTTGCTATTATAGTGTATCACCGTCACCAACATTGTAAATGCAACTCTTATCATCTCTATTATTCTTAACACTTCAACTTCACTATCCACATTGTATTTTTCTCATAGTTCTGAGCCTTATATTTTATATTTTTGTGTTTATATAAAATAAATTAAGAAAAAAATTAAATTGTCAATTACCAAATTTTATTATTTAGTTTTAACAATTGAAAAAAATTAACTGTCTACTTTTAAACTTTTTTATTTAAGTTTACAAAAAAATGTGGTGATGTAAATTAAAAAGCAAGTTGAAAATTGTTTCTCCATATCTACAAACACAAAATGATTCTTATTTAATTAGTTTAATTTAATGTTTTTAACCACGTTTCAATCTGTATGTGTAAAATTAAAATAATATTAACACATTAAAATTTTCTTTCTTAAAATCTTATGGGAATAATTTAAACATTCAATACTTATCATTAATCATAGCTAGATATAAAATATTATGAACTTCAATATAAACTTCAATATAGAATTGGTATTAAAATACAATATCAGTTGCACTAATCTCTCCCACAAGATTTGAATCAGGACTCAAGACAACAACACAAGTACAGATACTCAAAACGACGACGTGGTGGCTCTACTGATTCTTTTTATCTCGTTTATAATCTTTCATCAGCCAAAACCCCACCGGCACCGGCCCACCATTTACCAGCAGAACAAAATCATGTCCCCGAAGCAGGATTCCATACCCTACGCTCCTCTTCCTCAGGACGCTCCTCTGCAAAACGTCGTAGTTATACTCCCTTCGTACTACAGGTACCCCCCTTACTACCATTGCCTTCGCCGATGCTTGCTCTTCATCGCATCATTCCTCCTCGTAGCTGCCGTTGTCTTCTTCCTCTATCCCTCCGACCCGAACCTCAAACTAGCTAGGATCCACCTTAACCATGTCCGGTTCAATACGTCCCCGAAACTTACCCTCGACCTCTCTTTCTCAGTCACCATCAAGGTTCAAAACCGGGACTTCTTCTCTCTCGATTACAATTCCCTCCTCGTCTCGATTGGATACAGAGGAAGGGAGCTAGGGCTCGTAAGCTCCAATGGAGGACATGTGAGTGCCAGGGGAAGTTCGTACGTCAACGCTATCCTTGATCTTGATGGCCTCGAGGTTATCCACGACGTGATTTACTTGATCGGAGATTTGTCTAGGGGTGTTATCCCTTTTGATACTGATACTCGGGTCAAAGGAGACCTCGGGGTTTTCTTCTTCAAAATCCCGCTCCAGGTACCATTTTTTTTTCAAAATTAAAAAGAACACAATATGCTTGTTTGAGTTTTATTTATTTATTTAATTATTTGATTCTGGTTTGAGTTGAATCTATTAGATTGAAAGGTGGCAAACGTGATGGTTATCTTCAATGCCTGAATCTGGCAGTTTTGGGTTAGTTTCTGACGATTAGGATTAAAGGGTATATAGAATTGCAAGCATAGGGCTAGAGTTAGTATTTCTTTTAGTACTCACTAGTTTACTTGGAAAAGTCCAGATGGGCACTTCAATCTGTTCTTGTTATTGTATTTTCAACTTATTTAAGATGTGGTTATTTTACATCTCTGTATTTGTTTTTGGCCTTATTATATGTGGTGGTTGGATGATTTGAACCCATTAGATTGTAGGTTTTGGTCTGTTGTGTACGGTAAAATAGGGTTAGATTTTAGGTGATTTAATTATGAAGTCAATCGAGGGTTGTGCCTAATGACTTAGCATTAGGATTGCAGCAAATATGTGCTTTGATTTGCAGCAAACATCTGCTTTGTTCGGGCGATGTTTTATTTGGTGAACAATTTCAAAGCATGGTGATGGGAAAAAATGTTACTATTTATTGTCTAATTGGAACTTTGTTCCGTCGCATACTAATTCAAATTATCAGCTGTTTCACTTGAAAGTAAGCTGTACATCAATGAATTCAGAGTTGTGTCCTATTAACCTAGAACTTAGCTTTGATGATTATGGAAATTTTCTGGCAAGGGTGATTCTTATCTTTGTATTTTTCAACTGCTGATATTAAGATTATACATTTGAGCTTATGCAGTTTTGTTACTTCTCCTTCAGAGTTGTGTTCCTCCTAAAAAAATTTTCGTTCCCTCAAAGTGATATCATGTTGAGAGGACTGCTTGTACCTTTAACGGGCATGTAAACTTAAGTTGAAGGATATTTGTGGGTTTTGGTTGACTGATAAAGATTGACACATTAAAGTTGCTGAAAGAGCAAGATAAGACAGAATTATTAGTGTGTTTCCATGTGTGGATAAGATATTAGATGCCTGCTAATAGAAAAGAAATAAATTAAGGATCCCTTGTTCCTTATTAAGATTCTTTTTGTTCAATCATGATAAATTTTTTAAAAATGAAAAGTAATATAGTTGTATTGCTACGAGTACCGAAAATGCAAAACATGTACAGTTTATTTACAGCTTAATCGTCCAAACCGAAAATATTCCGGAAAGTCTCAAAGAATACGGGAGGATGACCTGTAAACAAAAAATTTAGGGTACTAGGCCATCTATTTTTCAGTACATCAAAACCCTTTGTATCATCAAGTCCCTCAAACGCTTTACTATTCCTAACCTTCCACACAGTCCACATAAGCATAATAGGAATCATGATAATTTTTGATATGTTGATAAAAGAAGTTTCTGTTTATACCTAACAAACTTAAAAATGACTTGGAGCTTTGGCATTTTTTTTTAATAACTAATACAAATCTTGTTTGGAACTCCATTATCTAGTCACTAAAAGAAGTTAAGGCTCCTTTCTGCCTTCCCGAAAAGAAACTCAAGTGTCTACTTTTTTTGTGCTTTTATGACTTGCTTTTACCACTTGCTTTTCCTTCCTCCACCTTCGGGTTCTTTGTAATATGCAGAAATACACAGCTTAACAGTATCATCCCGTGTCAACACATTTAAAGTTGTGCTATTGTGATGTTTCAGGGAAAAGTATCATGTGAGGTGGATGTTAATGTAAACAATCAGACAATTGTCCGTCAAGATTGTCACCCTGAGGTGAGGAACTTGTCCTTCATCATGGCTAATCTGAACTCAATAATAGACACGTTTTCTGGTTGCAGAGATTAATTTCTGGTTGATTATAGTTCTTGCCATAAGACAGTGCAGGGAAATGCTTGCATTTTGGGGATGATTTTTTTCCTTCTTTTGTTAATGAAGGAAACCTTGGTTTGATTTCTGCAGTGATGTCTTGAGGGTCCAGCATAGTTTACCAATGATGAACTGGAAGTCAGTAGCTACTGTATGGTTTGGGATGTTCGGGTGCTGGAGATAGAAGCTATTAGCTCTGCCATAGCTCTTTGGTATACCATGCAAGTCTTCTCAGTATGTTAATATAAATCATTTATAGGTGGATGATACTTGTTAACTAATACAAAGAAAAGAGTAATGAAAATGAATTCATTTCAGGTAGGAACTGCAGCACTACTTCTACGTTTTTCATTAATGAACAAAAAAAAAAGTGTCAGCTTCAGTTTTACTCGAAAGTTATCCCTTGTACATTTTTTAGATTGTATTCAAAATGCAGTATGGTGATATTATGTACAATTTTTTAATGTTAATTTTTAATTGAATGTTTCAATGAATTCTTTTGGAGAAGAATAGTGATTTATATCATCTGCTATGAATTTTTATTAAAATTAATTTTTGTATTAATTTTCAATATTGGTCTATATGAAATTTTTTTAAAAATCCCGCTTCAATGCTGGCTAACTATTACTCAGCTGCCTTTATTCATCTGTCATCTTCTTGGTCGAGCTGCCTTCTCTCATTATTCAACAAACTCTATCAGGAAAAGCCAAAAACTTCCAAAAAGAAAGAACTTGTGAAAATTTTTAACTTGCTTTTGAAATTTTGGCTGTCAGTTGCAAAAATCTTTAACATGCTTGTGAAAATTTGGCCTTCTTTTGGATATATAGACTACCTTCCCAATACGAATCCACCTCATCATAATACAATCACAAGGCACGGGAAGCAACAGTGGCTTCATCACTCCATTGCTGCACCGAGTGCAGCACCAATCTTAACCTCAACGTTGCACACCTGTACCCCGCAACAAGGGCACTCTTTCCTTCTCTTCCGTGGATGCCACCCAGTTCAGATTTGGGAAGGAGGACAAGATTAGCCCATTTTTTGAGACCCTCGATTACTGGAGAATCCAGAGGAAGAAGAGCAAGATCAAGTGCAATGCTTACGACCGATTGCTGGGCTATATTTATGACGATGGGCCACCTCTCACTAACAGTCTTGGCCAGTTCCATTTTGGATCGAGCCAGGTCATCCCTCGGCCCTCTCGTTATTGCTTCAAGACCAAGGCTTTTCGAATCTCCTCCCAGACGTGAACACTCATTTTGTTCACCATTGGTATTTTTGTGAAAGTGAAGTGACGAAATTTGTGTAATTATTAAAAATAAAATAAAATAAAATCTTAAGGGTTAAACTCGATCAAATCGGAATGAGAAGGGTAATAAAAATAACTGAGTTTAAGGGATCAAATTATTGAGAGAAAGTGAAAAGTCAAACTTAAAATATTGCAGTGGGATTGAAATGAGATTTTGAATATAGTGGACTCCCCGAATGATGAAATCGTTGGATTAGGAGGACGTTGCACGACACTATGATGGAGCAGTTCAAAGCAGAAGGCGAAGTCCACGAAACCAAGGCTACTAGTCACCACAAAGGTTTTCTCGTCTATTGGTTCGTTTTCGCTCAAGTGCATTTTCTTTGTTGTTTTTTGTCTTTCTCATTCTGATGGAATGCTTTTTGTTTTCACTTTTTTTTTATGACAGCTGTCATGTTTTCTGACTTATTATTTTTTTATAAATTTATATCTAATTATAAATTATTTATAAATTAATTTTAGATAAATAAGATATTTTCTTTCTTCATTTGTGTTATGAGAAAACGAAGGTATAGCCTAGAACTAAAATTGATACCTTCAAGAAGAAAAGTAAAAGTATTAATGATTTGTGTGGATTTAATGATATTAGAATTTTATGGATTGACAGGAATATTCCAGTGAGATGGCTCTTCTACATCACTCTATCACACAACCAAACCCTTTTTTTTTTATTTTAAAAAATAAAAAAAAAAAAAACCTATTCATTGTAGTGTATCCGCCTTTATTTTTTTAATCTTTATTTTCATATATTTAAAAAAATGTGGCTGCTGGGATTCGAGCCCAGGTCTCCACGGCCACAACGTGGAATTCTTACCACTAAACTACAGCCACCTTGCGCGTCTTTAAAAATATTATACATAATTGACATCTCCGATAACGTTCGCTAAAAAATATCACTCAAAATTAAAACCACTAACTTTGTTTCTAATATTCTTAAGAAGTCATATAGATGCATGCACAAGTACATATTAATACACACCATTTTGTATACACAATATTTATATGTCCATTAGCCTAGGTTTCTCCTCTTGAATTTTTATATACCGTTCTCGCGTTAGGCAAATCTGAAAACTGACATTTTTAATTCAAAAGACGACAAAGGTACCCACTAATTTTTTAACTTGACTGATCCTTATGAACAATTTTAAAGGCGTATAAATTTGTCAAAGGTGTGTTATTAGAGAAGAATGCGGTAGAAAACTCGTGTTGGTGAAGCAAAAATGAGCGATGTAGACAAGTGTCCTACAAGTTTGAAGTAACTTCTCCAATGTCATCATCAACTCAGTCGCTTCTCACTTTCATTAACTGCCTTTTATTTTTGTTTTTTGTTTTTTGTTTTTGACAAAGTTGGCCTTAGAATTTTAGCAATAATGAAACTATGCCATCCCCCCATCATTCTATATGTATAAGTTACACGCCCACATAGAAATTTGAAGCACAACGTTCGGTATTACCAATCTGATGATTACGACTACTAATTTTTATAACACGATATATACATATACATATATATTGAAGTACTAAAAATTAAATAATCAGCAAACAGAAACTTAAGAAAACAAGAATGCGATCGACTTGGTGTTCCATATATCATCTTTTTCTTCTCCTTTCAACGCATACATGCATATACATATATATATATATATATATATGTACACATACTTGTAGTCATGATATATCACTTGCTAAACTGATAATTTCTTATTAATTACCCGACCACCCCAAACATATTCAGCATGGTGGTGCCGGCAACGGAACGACCCCGGGTGCCTTGTTGGCGAACAGACGCAGTACTTGATCGATCCATCACCACCACTACCCTCTCCTGTCGGCGCCGGCGCCTCATGCTGGGTCACCGGCGTTTCGTGCCGCAAAAGAGACCACCATATTCCACCATGTATCACCAAGCCACGCGGCCTAACAGCGGGAGCTTTACCTGGGTAACACATTTCTTCCTCTTATTGGTTGAGGTGAGTAGTAAATTTAAAGGAAGGTTGAAGAAGAAAAGGATATATGTGGAGAAGAAAGGAAAAGCAAAGGCGAGGTGGGCAAGTAAAGTTTAGGATAAAAAGGGCAATTTAAAAAAAAGATTATAACGAATTGATTCGCTCGAGGATGTTTTTGGTTTTTCCCCAACTTGCTCAACATATATATGACAAGTTACTTGCGACTACACTTGTCCAGATTAAGACCCTAAATTCGGATACTGACAAGACGTATGTTGACACAACAAGACGATCAGATTCTGCCACGTAAGTTCTTCAGACACGTGGCGACATGGGCACGGTGGTGACCTGACAGGTGCCATTTTTTTTTCATAGAAAAAAGAGGGGGGAGAAAATTAGGTTTTATCCGGCCAGTATGGTTTTTATGTGGATGCCGGCGTGGGACTTTGAGTTTCGGAAGAGATGAAGATCGATTGGTGGCAAAACAAAATCAACGTGTCGATTGTGTTTAATTTAATAAACATTTTTCGTTCCTTCTCAATAAAGAAAACATAGATGGAAAAGAAATTAACATCTGATATTTCCACCCAATTTTGGATGCTTATTGATTATAATTAGTTACGTAATTTATTATTGAATCTAATTAATAAAAACCCATTGTGTTATAAACATTGAATGTAATAGTTTAATTTTAACTTTTTTTAAAAAAAAAAAATTTTAACGCAATTGAATTACATATAAGATATCATATTACCTCATTTTCATATGTTATGTATATTATATGTAATCAATCTGCTAAATAAATGAATTTTATATTTCTTAAAAATCATGAATTATTGAGGTCTATATTTTTTATGTATATAATTAACGAATCAAAAATTTAGATTCAAATCCAAATTAAATAAAAAAAGAATTAAAATAATTTAATTTATATATTAACTTCATATTCAATATTTTAAATTAATTTTTAATATTCACATCAAATGAGACCAATAATTTTCATCAACGTCCCGGGACCAAGAATCATGGCCGACCTAAACAGTGCCCTCCCCAAGCCTATCCCTTAACAATTTAAAACCATTATTCCTTCAATATCTTCATATATTTGTAAGTTTACTTCGAAAAACTAAATTAATTAAGTTCGATAAGTTAATGTGTAGTTCATATAAGATTAATAATACTAATCTGCATTATCATTTCAGTATTAATTTATAAACATCGTATTAGTTTATTTTAAATTCAATTTCAATAGTATTCAAACTTAAAAAATTAATTTAATTATAGAAACATTATATAATTTAAATGATTTATTCTTAAACTTTTTGATAATTTTCAAGTACATGAATTATAATTGTTTCTATCCACTTTCTTGCTTTTTAGCATTAATCATCAAACTTTTCCATTAAAAATATAAAATATTTATTAGTACCCTGCGTGCATGTTTGTTTTCAAAAGAGGAAATTGAAAAAAAAAAATCATGAACAAGACAAATCACTTACCAATATTTGATAGTATGGAATTGAAAATGATGACTTGATTTTTATTGAATATAAGTGATGTATATATACACGTACAAAATAAGAGATTAATAATCAATCAAATATTCTAATTTTATTAATCACTTAATTCGTGGAATTTACTGTGAATCGCCTTAATTCATATAATTTGTTGTCAATTACCTAATTTGTGAGATTTGTTGTTAATCAAATTATTTATAATAATTATGAAAATATATAATTAATTAATTCCTCTAATATGCTCTCTCAAGATGGAGATCATGTGGAGAGTCCAATCAAGAGTTGAAAGTGAGTGCGTGGAAGAGGATTGGTTGAGAAATATGCTAATTGATCTTCTAAGGACATATGAGTGACAAGTAAAGCTCTACTTGGACTTGATCTTAAATAAAATGATATTCATTTGCAACATGC